TTGCGTCAAATCACTCTTATTATACTTCTGTCCTTCTCATAACTTAGTTGAATTGAGCCACATGGCCACTGTCTGACTTCTGTAGAAGTGCTTTGATTCTGTGACACAGATAACAAGAAGGATTTCCTATAATAGGTGTTTGTGTCTCGATCAGACATTTGATAAAAGTTTTTTTTATTTTTTTTATCTTGGCTGTGGTCATTGTGTCTGTGGGCCATTTTCCTGTTTTGGAGAACATTTTCACATCAAGCAGGTTTTGGTTTACTGGTACAGAGTGGTAATGAACTGAGTCAGAAGTAGAATGAGTTTTTATTTAGACCTTTTATCATGCCATTTGTTTCGCCTCTCACTGAGTCAGCTGGGGTCTGCCCTGCTGAGCAGTGATGGGATTACACCAAAAATTATACTTACCTTAACTTGCATTCTCCTGTATTGAGCATATTTTATGTTTTTGGGTTTTTTTTTCACACAATGTATTTCATTATAGTTTTATTTGACCAACGACATAAAACAGAAACAAACGTAGGGTGGACTTTAATTTTATTCACCTCATTTACTCTGATACTCTTAATAAAATATATTGCAATCTACCTCTGTAATTTAATCTCAATTTCAATACAGCTGTTCTCTAATTACTTTAGAGGTTTGTTAAAAATCAGTGAAAACAGCGTAATAAGGTTGTAGGAAGGTGAGGCTATTTAAAAAAAATATTCCAACCTTTAACATCTTAGAAAGCACTTTTCCATTCAACTGAAAATAGAGCTGTAAAAGTACCATGACGTTTCGATCCACTGGCGCTTATAAATTTGCCATTAATTAGAAAAGCAGCCATGTTAATCTGCAGTTCAGGTGGGAGAGTCTTTATATGGAAGAGCTATTAATCTGGCTTTCATGGTAATGATGATGGGAAAGCATGCCATTTCTGAAAGAAAGCCAAAATACATCCTCTGAAGTTTACCAGAAGTGATGAAGGTTCTGTGTTGATGGGAAGATGAGTGAAGATAAATACTGTGCAGTCCTGGAAGAAAACCTATTAGATGTTGCAAAACTCATTAATCTGGGGTGCAGGTTCTCTTTCCAATAGGACAATAACCCAAATGCTTATGTAAAATATTCCCGAGTTGAAATGCAATAGTCCAAGTTCAGACCTAAATCCAGGTGAGAAATTTTGTAAAGTGGCCCTTCAGTTTTCAGGTCCTTCCAAAGAACATTTTGTCTGTAGACCAAGTACAAAGCCAATAGAAAATTTAATTAGAAAACTTGAAGTATTGACTTTGGGGTTAATTGCAAATGCAAGGCCTGAATTTCAGATAATTTGTAGAAATAAAATTTCATCATTATGTTATCTAACAACTATAGTTGGTGATATTGCATATGATTTGCAATAAAATACTGACAATTGTGGTTGTAATGAGTGTAAAAATCTTTTAGGGTACAAATACTTTTGCAATATCCTTTGTTAGATAAATAGAATAGTGTATCTTTCTTTGTTTTTGGGTGGTTAACTTGGGTTAATCTTGATCAGTGAGGGTGAGTTAACACCCTCGATAATGCTTGCTCTCTTGCAGGAATTTTTTTGTTTTGTTTTTGCATCAGTGTGAGAGTTGGTGACCACAGTCTCTCCCCAACTTTGTTTACGTGAACTGTTAAAGATGCAAAAAGCCCAGCTGTCAGTTTCACTTTCTCATCATGTCAGCGCTTAAAAAAGGTGTGTGGAAAGTACATATGAATAAGAGTCGAAGGGGAAATGAGTGTAAATGGGAAGCTTCTAAGGGTCATCTTTGTTGTTTTTGCTCTCAGCAGACTGTGGTGTTGTGTGTTTGTGTGTGCTGCACTGCAGAGCTGTGGAGACAGTCTCAGACAGCCGGATGTAACTACTTCCACTCTTTGTCATGTGACTAGGTTTTGTGGTCATACATGAGGAAGTTGCAGTGTCCTCCTGTCTCAAAGTAGTGTGTGCAAGGTGAAAATGTGCTGGGCAGATGTGGAGTTTCCCACATTTCTCACTAGTATAGTGAACATTTCTTGTACTGCAAGTCTCTTGGTTGCTTTTTCTCTGGGTGCTTTTAGAGCTCAAGTGTCAAGTTCCTCCATAAACTTGTTTGCTTCACGGTGTGTTTTCCCCAAGTGACCACATGAACCCGTCTCTTCTGACATCACTGTTCAGCATAGCGACAATTCTTGGAAGACTCAAGTGACTGAGAACGCAGGGCTGGCTTTGTCATCCCCCTGATATCAATGCCATCAAGGCCACCTCAGTGTCTCTAAAATGCAATGCTCGCTGAGTCTTGAACTGCTGCTGCTGCGTCATAAAGTACCACCCATGCTGCTTCTCCAGTGGGTGCTATGCGTCAGCAGAGCTGGCAGAAAATGCTCTCAACCTTCTAAAGTGCATGTTGATGTAATCTACTACACAGAGGCCTTTTTTGTATGGTGAAACACCTGACTCTACTCGTCACAACAGACTGTGTACATAAGAATATTTCTGTCTGTAAGTGATTTTTGCCCTGTTCTTGCCCTAAAACTAAACCTTAGACAACTAAAACTACTTTTTTATTTGTTTGTTTGTCTTCTATGCCCACGAGACGAGCATGTACGTCCACATCTCGTCAGAGGTGTCAGTTAGAGGGGCTCATTATCCTGCCTCTGCATTGTGCACATACTGTCCTCAGTGGTTGCTGGCATGGAAGATATCAAGGGAGTATGGGTCAGTCAAAACCTGTCGGGAGAGCAAGTCACCAGCTGGGGCCCAAGTGAGGAAAAGAAGTTCAGCAGTACAAAGGGTTCAGCATTGTTTCTAGCCATCAATTTTGGCATTTCATTGTTGTTGAACAGTTCTTGATTTGAACCCCCCAACTGTACTCTTCAATTGCACTACATATGTGCCCCGGGTCGTATGTTTAGAAATGATGTAGGTGAGTGATCTTAATGGACTGTGTGTTGATTCTTTGAAATATATATTTATGAATCAATGATCTAGATGCTGACGAATAACATGTCTTTGCTATTGATCAACCTTACTTTCACGGTGGAAGCATTTTTAAGGAAAAAGTTGATAATTTCGAATTACTCTGCGGATAAGACCAACACTCTGAGGGGTACTTTGGATTTATTTGAAATCTGCTGGTGATTAGCAGTTTCTTGACCTTTTAGACATTTTCTTTTTATTCCTTCTACCTGACCATGTTGACATATTTGCAGTGTATTTTTTTAAAATGAAAATTGACAAATGGTGGGCAGGAAAAGTATCATCATTTATGACTGAACATAATATAAGAGGAAAACATTCAATATCCAAAAAGAAAAAAAAATCAAATGATCTTCTAAAATCTTAGAAGATCTTAAGAATTCAAAAACACAATTTAACCCCATAGACATTGCGTATGGTGTGTGAGCTTCTTACTGTTTGGTCACTGTTTCACTGTGAAAGTTTCACAGTTATTAGTTACATCTATTGAAGCAAACATAACTTCAGACAATGGACAGCAAAAACATACAGAACTCACACTTACAATCTGTCAAAATGTTAGATGTCTTGTTTTCTAAGACTTTGCCAAACCTTAACTTATTGTTACCAGTATTACTTTTCAAATGTTTTTTTTTTTTGTTTGTTTTTCTGTGATGGAAGTGGCCTTTATTAGGAATCACAGAAAATCTGATGATTTACTTACTATTAAAATGTTGTTTTTTGCCTCTGCAACTTTACTTTCTTGTCTTTATAAGATTGTATCCATCTTGACGAAAAATGTTAAAAACAAAGGAAAAACAATAAGTTTACATGATATAATTTGTTTTGGACTGTTTGGTGAGTTCTGTACCACAGTCCACTAGCTTCTGTTTGCTTTGTACTGACTGATCTGTTTCCAGTAGAATCAATCAGAAGTTTTTGAGTGAGGGAAACAGAAGCTCATATTGACAGATCTTCTACATCTCTGTATGCGCACACACGAAGAAACTCCACACTTCTGTGTTAGAGGAAATGGGGCAATTAAGGACAGCTTGGTGCTGCTTGGCAGGGGGTTAATATACGGCTCCGTAATTAAAAATAAATTACAGTTTTCCAGTATAAATATTCAAGTTCCACGCTGCCGTGTGCCACTGCCTTGTTATGGTATGTTAGGTTTTTTTTTTCCCCTTCCGTCTGTACAACATCTGGCGTAACATTTCCTGAAGCATCACCAGAATAAATTGAATTTGGTCTTTCTTCAGAGATTCATTTGCGTGAATCACTTTGAGTAAGTGAGTAGGATGGACCTGTGTGGCTGCAGGTTATGGCAAATATCTGTATGGGGAGGTGATTGGTTCCAAGTAGAGAAAAAAAAATTAAGCTGCAAAAGACTTGAGACTTGTTGCTCAAATGGTTATTTTCAGATTTTTTTTCTTTGAAACTCGTAAAGACACTTATTTTCTTTCAGTGCTACTTTGACTTGAACATACTGAAGTTCCTGGTTGCAAAATGACAAAATGCAAAAAAAGTCAAGAAGTAAATACTTTGCAAAGCAGTATGTGTTGTTACATTCTCCTTTACTAACTTATAATTTTCTATTACTTATTTATGTTTACTGTCTTAATCTTTAATTCCAGAGGGAAAAAAATTCTGTCTGATTGTTTTTTACAAATCAGGAAATTCTCAAAGGTGGCTCAAATGGTTGATCTAGCTTTTCTCCCACATTGTGCTTTTCTTTTGTCTTAACCCTGCCAGTATTTTTTAATAAAAATAAGACATGGCACATCTTTTTTGGGCTAGCTCTTATCTTATTTGCTTCAAAAAGTGTCTTTAAAGACCAATAAAAATAAAAAGGAAAAACAGGTATATGAGTTCAGGTTAACCAAAACCGTTTTCATCACATTTGTACATGAAAAGAACAGAACATTGACACATATAACAGCATAAAACCCACAAAACGAGTAGAGTTGTACATTAGTTGGGCTTTTGAGAATCTAGAAACAGAGGTTTCTCAGAAACCCAATATCTTCTATCTGTGTTTTCCCCATATCAGGAGAATACATCAAGACCTGGAGGCCGAGGTATTTTCTCCTCAAGAGTGACGGTACATTTATCGGTTACAAAGAACGACCACAAGATGTTGACCAGCTGGAAACCCCCTTAAATAACTTCTCTGTTGCACGTGAGTATCTGCTTCATAGAAAACACCTCTTTCTTTTTCCAAGCACCTTTAGTTTTTTGCTTGAATACTTTTTGTGGGTTCATTTCACATGTTGTTTTAATAATATAATGTATATCGGTTTTAGCCAAGTACATTGAAAGCTATCACTCTAAATGTACTCTGCAGAGAGTCAGGAACACTCCAACACTTACAGTTGGGTACAAAAAACTTGATATATTCTGGTCTATTGTGTTTTTTAAGAGTTGCCTAAAACTTCAACAGCTGTGAGCTACTTGTTGGAAAACACTAGTACTTAACATCTGAAACTTATTGCACACCAAAAAATTGTGTTGCACTTTTGTTTCTGATTTATTCTTCCCTGGATGTGTCAGTGCTACCATTAGTTCAATTTCCTAAAATACCTTTTGAAGTGTATACTTCTTTCTGTTATGCTTTCTTTTAATCTCAGTCATTTTATTAGTTCATTGGCTGTTTGATGGGAGTTTCTTAAGTTTGATACAGAAAGAGTAGGACGTCCTCTATTTACATCACTCTGATCTGTTTTTTCACCTGATGAAGAAGCTCCAAAATATTATTTTAGGGATATTTGTTTTTAAGAAAGCTAATAGAGTTGGTCATTCTTTGAAATTACTATGTGAATAATGGTTCTTGTCTCCACCTCAAGCAGAAGACGGAAGGCATTATTTTTTAAATTTATTTATTTATTTTCTCAGATATATTTGGGAGTGCCCCAGCTCTTGCTAATCAAAAGAAATTGAAAATCTCCCGGAGAGGAGACTCCATAGAAAACCTAGAACTTGTGAGATTTTTTTTAAGACATAGGAAAGTCTTGAGTAGAAAATATTTGGGCGATAAATGGCTTACCTCAGTGACCTGATCTCATCATGAATGGGACAAATAAAATCCAATTGGCTGACAAACTCAAACTCTTTCATCCATGACGCAGCTTAAAACAGAGCCTTTCCCTCACTACATCAATAAATGACAACTGAGGTGGTTGGGATATCTTGCCAGAATGCGTTTAGGTGTTTCAAGACACTGTCGCACATGGAGGAGACTCCAGGTCACCTTGAAAAGTCTAGAGGTTCTTTGTCATTTCTGCCTGTGGGATTCTCTGAAAAAGTGTTGCTGGGGAGAATAATGTATGCACTTCATTCAAGGACCTGTTGCCTCCTTGATTCAATTTTGGAGACAATAAACTTCTATATATTTGGATCCTCAAATGACTTAACAAAGCCAGACCTTCAGTATCTTTGTTCATGCAAAATGTAAATGGAACCTATTCGATAAAACTCACATTTTCTGGACAGTTTTCTGGGCTAAATCTGGTCAGTCAGATGGTTGACCTAAAACAAGATCTGCATGGACAACCAGTTATTGCAGGGAATAGATACACTGACTAAAATGTAGCATGACCTAAGTCTTCCAGAGTATTATTTATAGTCTTAAGTATAGTGACATACTAAAGCATGCAGAAAATTGTTATATTTTTTGGTGTTCATGTCAGGTGTGTAAAAGGCTAAGTTCACATTGGCTCATATTTATCATTGTGTGCCCCTTGCTTCAGAATTGCTTCATTTGGTCAGAATTGTTTCTGAAGATGGTGCAGTATCATCTCTGCAGCATCATTACGTTGCGATCAAAGGAAACTTAGCCCCATAATACACATGGTTATGTTTGGTGTTTGACTTTAATGTAATGCATCAGGTGCTGTCCTCCTCCTCTCTGAGCTTCTTCCACAATCCCTCTACTTTCATATTGTGAAAGAAAACTAAATAGAAGTGCCCAGAGCAACACAGTTCACTCCATCTTCCCATCACAGAAAGTCTCAGCGATAAGCCGCTCAGTTGACTGAACACAACAATTAGACAGCACACTGTTTGTTTAACTTGTTTCCTCCCCGACACTCTTGAGTTATCGTGGCTATTAACTGCCTAATTTCACGTATTTGTCTGGGCTATGCTCTGAGGCTCTTGTCTCCATCCACGGAGGCTTTGTTTTTTTTTTGTTTTTCCTTGTCACCAGTGCGACCCCATCATAAAGGACACATGGTGTGTCGCTGCTGAGGGGGCGGCTGCAGCTGGATCACACATTCACCCTGATGGAGCCATGTTGGATCTCAGTGGTGGTCCACTTGGAGTCTTCCATCTATCAGACAGGGGCCATATTTGTGTCACACCCAGACATATTTGCTGACATGTTTCATTTGGGAACAGATGTTAATTTGAAGAAGGTGCAGATGGAAATCTCTGCTTTTGTACTTCCAGTTTGTGGAGTATTGTGAGTAATTGTTTTTGGAAACTGCTTACATAACAATTGTTTGCTCCAAAACTGGGGAAAAATATATATGTGTGAAGAAAAGGTTGTAAGTCAAGACTTTCCATTGTTAGATTAATAAAAACAGTTTAACAAGAGTTAATGAAGAATGTAAAGATTTATGTGTAGTGGGATAATTTATATAAGAGTCATTAAATGTATTAAAAGTACTAAAATTTATATGCACATGGTTTCTACACGATGTGAACATGTGTGAAACTTGATGTCCGTCCTTCCTTTCTTCCATCTATCTGTTGTGTCCATTCATTCATCTGTCTTCTATTATTTGTTCTTCCTTCTATCCTTCCATCCACCCATTCGTTGTGTCCATCCATGGTCTCTTGTCCATCCATCCGTCTATCCTCCTTTGTCTGTCCTTCTTTCTGGCCTTCCATCCATCATCCTTTGTGTCCTCTCTTTTCCTTGACACATTTGCTTTAAATGTATGGTGAACATTTGTATTTTAAAAGGTGAGGACAATAAACTAAAAACTCAGAAAGGTGAGTCTGGAAAATTAACATTTTTACTGAGAAAAATTGGTACGAAACATAGATGTTGGCACATGTGTTGTTCGCAATAAAAAGATACCAAATGTCACATTTTAAAGGAGCTTTCAAATCTTTTCCTCCAAAGTGCACCTGTTCTTTTCCAAATTGGCCAACGGTGTCTGTTAGGGTGGCGATAAAGATAAATGGCTGTAACTGTGGGTCTGTCTCTCCCCTCTCCTCCCCTACAACACTGGCCCTTCTCTTCATCTCCCTCCCTGCTCTCTTCCTGGCTGTTGGTCAGAGTGCCAGCTGATGAAGACGGAACGACCCAAGCCCAACACATTTATCATCCGCTGCCTGCAGTGGACCACTGTCATCGAGCGTACCTTCCACGTGGAGACCCCCGAGGAAAGGCAAGCTACAAGCTTGCACACACACAACACACCACCTCTCTTTGCTATTGGAGTTGTAAAACACAAACTGTTTAAATGGAAGGCATTTGTTTCTAGCAAACAGCTGCACAGATTAAGATGTAGAAAATGCTCAAATGTGTACATTTACAATGATTTATTGCTGCGTACTTATTCAAAGTTCCCTGTGATTGGCTGAACTGACACATGAAATTGCTTTCCTGTTGATAAGAACAGAATTGCGTAATTGGGCTGCACGGCTTGCTCAATGGAAAATGAGCTGATTTAATCTCTTTGACTCCTCTGTCTAATTCAGGGAAGAATGGACCAAAGCCATCCAGGCAGTGGCTGAAGGCCTTCATAAACAAGAAGAGGAGAGGATGGACTCCTCTCCAGAGCCCATGGACATGGAGGTCTACCTGACCAAACCCAGACACAAAGTGGTACTGTATCTCACCGTGCCTTGCAAAACAATTCACATCCCTTTTTCACATTTTATTACATAGTAAACTCAAACTTCGATATATTTTATGCTAATACAAGGTAGTGCAAAATCTTTTAACAAACAGAAAAATGTGGCATGCATTTAAAGTTGTGCTGCTTTACTCTATAATACCTCTAAATAAAACAGAGTGCAGTAATTAGTCTGTAGAAATTAACAATGCAGGGTTGAGAGATTTGTGAGAGAACATTGATGAACAAGCAGCATTATACCGTGCTAGACCTTGAATATCTAACACTGCACATTACCTTAGCCTTTACATCCAATAACATAATATAGAATTAAAATAATCAAAGAGGACAAAATACAAAAAAGTTTGAGACATGAATATTTTTGTTGCTTTTGTCCCTAAATGTACTTCTAAAATAGAAGTCATTCCTGTGGTAATTCTTAGTGTTTTTTCCCCACTTTATCCCTCATTTGGTCATAGTGCCCTTCTTCTGACCTGCCCTTCCCTTGATACTCTCACACAACTCCAGCTTTGCTTCCCCATTCCAACCTTCTGGTCGAAGGCATCAGCCAGGGGTGGCTTGGCACCCAACCCCCCTGCACCTTCAAGGCCACGAGATTGGATGTCGTCCCCCAACTCCCCACACACAGATGCATACACACCCATTCACAACATTCTCCTCAGGGTCAGAGGTTAACCAGGTCCCAACCACATTTAGGCCAAACCATTAGTGGAGTAGAAATTGCTTAGTGGGTAAAATGGTGCCTAAAATGCTTTAGTGCGGTTGTCAATCGGATTGTGTGTCCGAGCTGGTCAGAGCTCGAGTTTGCTAATTCTCCTGTTCGTAACCAGATACCACTTTGTCTTCTCTGGCCTTCCAGACTATGCATGACTTTGAATACCTCAAACTCCTGGGAAAAGGCACTTTTGGCAAAGTTATTCTAGTAAAGGAGAAGGCCACAGGACGCTACTATGCCATGAAGATCCTAAAGAAGGAGGTGATCGTAGCAAAAGTGAGTGGTTGCCAATTTGCAAGAAACAGGTGAAAAACACTTAAGTTTTGAAGTTCAGTGGCGCAATGACTGATACCTAAATAGTTAGCTATTGTAAGACTTAGACAAACACTCTTTGTGCTTTTCTTTTTTTGCAGGATGAAGTGGCACACACACTCACAGAGAACAGGGTCCTCCAGAATTCAAAGCATCCGTTCTTGACTGTAAGGAAGCCCCTCTGAATATCTGAACCTTTTTTAACCCAAAAAAGGCTTTCTGTTTGTTTTGTTTTTCACTCAAGCAACCATTTATTCAGAAAAGGCAACAATCTGAACAGAAAAAACAAGCACTTTTTATAGTATCGCTGGCATTTTTGGCCTTTTTAAAAAATAAATCTGTGGGTTTTGGTTTGGGAAGCTTGTGAAAATAACAAATTATGCACAAATGTTGTCAACATGCTATCAACATGTTATCTGTATTCTACTTTTGTTCTCCAGCATGACACTCTTTAGATGTTTGATTTTTTTATTTTATTTTATTTTTTTTGTGTGTGTGTGTGTTTTTTTGAAAATGTTGCTGCAGATGCAGCTGCTGCGATTGCATGTTGGTTGTTTAAAGGGCAGCTTCCTCTTGACTGTGTTGATAAGTTCTGCTTTAATCTTCTGCAGGGACTGAAATACTCCTTCCAGACTCATGACCGCCTGTGTTTTGTAATGGAGTACGCAAATGGTGGTGAGGTAGGCGACATAAACCTTTACTGTTGCATCACAGTTTTTCTTACTACTTGGTCATTAATAATTTATTTATTTATTTATTTATTTATTTATTTATTTATTTATTTTTGCCTTGACTGCTGGACTGATGGACTTTGTTCTCATTTGAGCACTCCTGTTTCCCCCTTCAGCTTTTCTTCCATCTGTCAAGAGACCGGGTATTTTCAGAAGAACGGGCTCGGTTCTATGGTGCAGAGATAGTGTCAGCGTTGGATTACCTGCATGCTGAGAGAAACGTGGTTTATAGAGATCTCAAGGTATCAAGGAAATATGTGAACTTTTCCACTTTTTCTTCTTTTTGTTTCTCTATTTTCTGATAGACGAGCACAAAGTAGAACATAAATATGGAGGAAACATTGAAAAATATGTTTTTTAAAAGTATTCGCAAATAAGAATCCAAATTCTGGCATGCATATGTGTATATACTCCTTTATAATTAGATACCCTTAAGTGAAATCAATTGCATTCAGAAGAAAATTAATTTGTAATACCCGTGTGTAATTTAATTTCAGCATAGAGGTTTCTAGAGGTTTAGATGCAAAGAGCCACATCTTCAGAAGGAGAATTTTTTCGAGAGGTGAACTTAGTCTTTCACAAAAATCTGGCTTTTATAAGTTTGATGAGAAGAAGGGGCACTGGTGAATCTGAAGAAATCCAGTAGTCTCATTTAAAGTAAACCATAAGCTATGTAGAGGTACGGCAAGTACTCCTGAAGAAGATGCTCTGCTTGGATGAGACTAGATTTAACTTTTTTTACCTACACATATAATACTATATAGTAGAAAATGAACTGTATGGATACACAACATTCATCTTTTCTCTCTTTTTCCTACCCAAACTTTCCTTCAGTCTCAACTTGTAGTTTTCTAGAGTGACAATTTTGTTTGCAGAGACTTCATAATTAATTTTGTTAGTTTTTTTTTGTTTTGTTTTGTTTGTTTTTTTTAATCTATTTTGGATATTTAAAGTATCTTCCAGTTCTGGTGTTAAATGTTCATTAGAGAATTTAAAATTATTGGTCTTTAAGAGTGTGTTTTTGAATCTTTATGTCATTACCATTCCATCATCTGAAAATGAACTCAAAACAATTATATTCCCGTCTATTATAAAAACTTATGGAACAAGTTGTTGTCCAGTAAAATTTGTTATTGTGACAGGCATATTTACAGGTGCTCTTCATCCAATCTAATAGAGATTGTACAATTGTTCAAAAATGTCAACCTCTAGATCAGGGTTGCCCAAGTCCAGTTCTCATGCTTCAATCTTTAGATGTAAAATTTCTCTGACTCAAATCCCTGAAACCCATCATCGGCATATCCCTCACCTCTGCAAAGACCTGGTAATGAGCCATTCGTGGGGTATAGGTGTGTTAACAAAGAAATGGATCTAAACATTGTAGGATGGTAGAACTTGAGGACTAGATTTGAGCACCTCTGCTCTTCATACTAAAAGCTGATGCAGAAATGCCTCAAAAGACTTTCAACTGAGAAGTATTCCTGCAGAGTATTTGCCAAGCTGACTACATGAGCACACCACTCTTCACAGATTTTTTATTTGTAGAAAAATTTTAAAAATATAATCTTTTCTTCCACTTCACCTTATGCTTTATTTTGTGTTAGCTATGTAAGAGCCTAATAAGAGCCATTAACGTGTGTGATTATAACGTATCAACATATTGAAGGGGTTTGAATACTTTTGGGAGGTTTGTGCTCACCCAGAGCTGTGGCAGCGGACAGGACTTATTGATCTGCCTCTCCCACATCAGCCTCTAGACATCACTGCAGCTGGAGAAGAGTCTGGTCCGACCGTTACTGCAGTGAGACAGAAATAACCAGAGCTGCCTCTAATAGTGCACATGCAGAGCCCATTATGTGGTATTTGTCCACTTTGCAATTTATATTGTTTTGTAAATTGACACTGCAGTTGAGCAGGAGGGGTTTTTGTTTTTATTTTTTTGGCAAAAAGGAAACAACTAACCATCCATCATCACAGCTGTAGTTGTTCCGTATTGACGGGTATGTTTGGATTCAGGAATGCAATCAGTGCTGCAGTGGGCATCTCAAGCTGTACTTCTTACAGCTGATAAAACTATACCAGCCAGGTCAGCACAGCGCAGCTCTCCCTCCCTCTTTTCCTCCCTTGGGTTTACGAGGCAGGCTCCCAGCCTGCGAGGGTTCTCCAGAAAATGCCAGGGTAGCAGGATTGGAGGATGTGCTGACTCTGGCCGGCCGCTGCTGGCCACGTGTGAGCTACAGCTGCTGGGTGACTTTAACAGGAAGAGAGAGAGAGAGGGGCGTTAAAGCCCGAGTCATGACACCAAATAATCAACATCTATATAGGCTGTAGCTCTGATTACTTTTACATGCTGTCATAGAGTAAAGTTCTATGCCAAAGTATTAATACAGCTTCAATGTAAGCTTCAAGTTTACATTGAAGCTGTAAAAAATTTTGTTATTGGGATGGTTTTGGGTTAGAGACACAAAAAGTACTTTGAAATTGTGAAGTTAATATAAAATGAGTTTTCAAATATATATATTTTAACACTTTGTTTCAACATCCAGGTAAGATTTACATTTTCTCAATTATATTATTCAAATATTAAAAAAACATTGCCCATTTACTCTTCCCCCTGAATGAAACCCAGTGCAACCACTTGCTTTGAAAAGTTCCTTATTTAGTTGAAGTCCAATAAAATGTTAAAACAGGGATTCTACAAAGCTTTTTTTGCAAGAGAAATGGAAAAAAGATCATTTTTTATGTGGAGGAAACATCATAGAACATTGTGGTGGCAGTATCATGCTGGTGTTTTTTATCAGCTTGGAGAGAGAAAGTCAGAGAGTGAGAACTGCAGAGGAGTAGTTTAGATAAAACATACTAATGTTTCAGAATGCATTGACTACTTTTGCATGACACAACACCGGTTGAGCAGCAGGAGTGTTTTTATATAGAAATCATTTGATCCAAATCTTCCCCTCACTCACACGTGACGATGTTTTTCAAATTGATTTGCAAAACTGAGGAAATAAAAATAACATCCTCTTTTTTTTGTTGTTTTTAATGTCAAAAAGGGAAGAAAGATGGAACAAGCTGGTGATTGGCTAACTTTCTTTCACCCAAATATTCATATGATTACTTATAGTTGATTTTATTAAACATCCATTCAGTCTAATAGTACACTAGTGAAAATGCCAAAGTGAAATAAGGAGAAAATTTTTTCCCCTTTGGGAAATATGAAGAGCAATTCCTCTTTGCAGACATTACAATCCTTTGAGGTGAATTCATTCATTATCAAGCAACTTTAAAAACTGAAATAAAAGGCATATAATTGGTTTGATATGCTAATAGTTTTGAAGTGTCGAAGGTGTCAAAATTCAGTGAACACACGTTATAAATTTAAAAAAAACATGAAAATGAGTACAGTAATCAAATGCATTTATTTAAATGTTCTAATATTGTTGTAAATTATTGGAACAGTACATTTTTAAATTATTATACTGTTAAGACATAATTTAGCAGGATTTTTGTTCTTACTGTAGAATGTGTAGTAATTTATTTTGTTTGACTAGATGACTATGGTTCAAGTTAACCAGCACAGGAAATGTATAATAAAAAAAAAAACAGAAATCAAAAAATGTTTGATTTTTAACACACATTTGTGTTTTGAGTTTAGCTTTTAAAATGTTATATTTTTATTTCTGTATATAATGCACTTAATACATTGCAATTTCGATTTACATTTATAAGTGGTTACTTGGCAAATTAATTATTAATTTGTTGTACATTTGGCCCTCAATAAATTTATTTTTACAAATCATTTCCTCTTAGTTTTTATTCATAATCCAACATGTCGTCCATTTAAAAAAAAAAGAAGTGATTTTATGTGTGTTTTTGTTTATACAGCTGGAAAACCTCATGCTGGATAAAGACGGACACATAAAGATCACAGATTTTGGTCTCTGTAAGGAGGGGATCAAAGACGGAGCCACTATGAAAACTTTCTGTGGGACGCCAGAGTACCTTGCACCAGAGGTAAACATGACAGTGCAATAATCTTAATATCTTTTGGAAGCCAATTGCAGATCTATGAATACATGTCAAATAATTTTATACACTTCATTTTCACCATCAAGTTTTTCTTCTGGAGGGAATCCAAAGTTCTGATCTTAGATCTCTGTTATTTTCTACCTACTTGCTTCCACTTGGCTAAATGTTGTTGAAACACAATATTCCTTTTCAACTGTAGGCAAATGGCTGAAAATTTATTGCACATTAAAGTGCATGGACACATGCTCTGTACAGTCTCTCATCCAAAGTTGGATGACACCAATTTTTATTTTGTTTTAAGGAGACATCAACATTTTTTTTTGGTCACAATGAAGAAAAATGCTTGATTATAAATTGAAGTGTTAAAATACAGATCCTGATTAAAAACTGGACAACCATGTTAATGCTAATTATGTCCTAATTTTTTTTTTCCAACTATAAGGCCATTGGCAAAAATCAAGCCAACTTTTATCAAGAAGAACCCTAGATACACAGATCCATGTTTTTAAAACCTATTATTATGCCCTCTTGTTTGTGGTCAGTCGAATTTCTCTGCTGCTCACCAGGGACAATTTTTAGCTTTTTTTTCACCTTTAGTATTTCATCTTGGCCAATGTTGTTGTTTTTTAAAGTGCTTTATAAAGTGTTACAGTGTGGCACCTAATGGTGAATGCTGCTCATAAACAGGGTTTTGTAGAGCCCACCAGTCCGCTAACGAAAATATGCCATTTATTTGTAGACCTCATTGTATGATATGGAAGCGTTTGAAGAAAAGAGCAGCTGCCCAAAATGCCTCTCTAATCTCCAGCTGAAGTTGAGTTAATGAGTGTGCAGTGTGCCCAGGGCAGGGCAGCCTGCTCTCATATTTGCCATGTCTTGAGGTGTGTGGCTTCTCGCTGTTGCGTGCAGGTATGACAAGTGTTGGAGGTGTAATCGGATATGCCGTATTGTGCATGTGTTCAAAATGTGTTTGTGGGTTTTCCCCACCTGTTGTCATAAAAATGCTTTCTGGAAGAAGGGTGTCCATGTTGACACAGTTGTCGCATTGTTGTTTTTAGACAGCGTTTGGAATTTTGTGTTTGAAGGAGAAGGTGTTTGACCGGCTGGATTTCAGAAAATGTAAACTTCATCAGGGAAAAGCGAGGAAAAGAGAGACCACATGGGTTCCAGCTGTTATGTGGCACCAGGAGAGGAATTGCTTAGGATGCTTCACTTGCACTGAGCACACAATCCCACAAAGCTTCACTCCTCCTCAGGAACATATAGATGTCCTGCAAAAATACTAAAACTCATATTTTGTTAAATTACTGTTATGCATTATACTGGGACCTTTCCGCTTGAAACCAGTAAATAAAACCAATTTCCTTCAGAAGTCATCCAGTAAATTCCTCTTACACAATTTAATTTCAGTATAAATATATCTGTTTTGTGAAGGCCTCAGTCACTGAGCAGATTTGCCTTGTGGAAAAGAGTGGACAAAAGAAAATCCATTTTGACAGAAAGCTAATACAAGTCCTGTTTGTAGTTTTTCATAAAGAATTTATCAAACACCTCAATCGTCTGGAAGATGCTTCTGTGGGCAGAATTTGTTTGCATATAATGAGAACAGTTTTTAAAGAATACTTTTTTTCAACCTCAGTGATACCCTGCTGATAAAATCCATCAAAATTTGTGAATGCACAATTCCAGCATATGTAGCGAGATTAGAGGTAGGAATACTTTTACAAGGGACACAGCCTCATAAACCTTTTCAAAGAAAAATATAGCAACTTTTTATCTATTGCAATTATTTCTGGTTTTCTGTCCTCATCCAGAGTTTCTCCCAGCCACTCCAATGACAGCTCTAAACTCACTAGTGGAGCGCTGGTAGACATCAGGGGGCATCGCCATGGTAACAGGGTCGCTGCTGAGCGTCTCAATGGAGTACGGGCCAGGCAGTGTTACAGGTTTTTCTGCAATAAACAATGACCTTGTTGTGTGTGCTGCACAGGAATGCTGTAATGTCTGGGAATATTCCACCCAGAGCTGCAGAGAAAAAGAGGGAGAGGTAGGGAGGATAGAGTCGGCCTGCAACAGCCTGACCAGTTTGTCTCCGAAGTAAAGCGGCGGACAAATTCACTTAGTCACTTTTATTAAACACTTACAGAAAGAAAACTATTATTGGCTGAGGGAATTGGCTGCTAGGGAATGTCCACAAAGAAAAATGTGGACATGTTTAATCTAGCCCCCCAACACCAGTCTGTATTCGGCGTCTTGAAAGATTAATGGCTGTCACTGTAGAACATTGTGAGCTGAAAAACAGCAGTAAGGAGACTGTAGCTCCCAAGAATCAGCAGCAAGTGTTTTTTTTTTTTTCTTCCCAAATCCTCCTCCTTCTTTCTTCCGCTGCCTCTGCTCCTTTGGGGCAGTGTAACAGTATTAGCTTAGGGCCAGGGCCCAAATAGGCAGGCAAGCAAGCAAGCAGTCCTGGTTACGTATATGAAGGATGAGCTTGGCTCCTGCACTCCTGGCAGCTTCACAGCTGTGGCGCTCTTCTACATATATGGGGCAGCTGCGGGCCCAGCTGTCGCACGGTGTGAATCACACGACAGCAGCGCTGGAAATAGAGACGGCCCAGTAATCTTAGCCCCGCTCCAGCTTCACGTTACCCCCCTCCACCGCCCTCCTGGCCCTTCCCGTCGATCCTCTGCACTCACTGCAGGACCAGACCGAGGGCCCACACAAGACATGCAAGCTGCATGCATGCTCACTCACCAGCAGTCTGGTTCCTTTTACGGACACTTCAGTCCATCTGTTTCTGCAGGACCACCCCTCTCTGGGTCGGTGCACTTTTTGTGTCCTTGTCTAATTCGTTTAATCCACCCTTATCTTTTTACCAAAGTTTCTAATATTAGGTCCGAAATTTGTAGCATCATGCTGCTGAGGGTGTGGGAGAACACACTGTTCTCGTTGTCTTGATTTAACCTTCAACATCCGCCTGGTGAGGTAGAATCCAGTACATGTCCCCAGACACCCTGGAACAACTCCACGATGCAGAGCATTAGTCATGCAACAGGTTACACTGTTCACCAAGCACACCAGAGGAGTTTCTAATTAGGAAATGTCACAGAAAGTCATATGAAAATAATCTGATTAAATATTTCCCTATCTGTGACTCCACCTGTGTTAATTGAACAGTTTGCTATAATTTGCTCATGTGAAAGACTTAATTTCTCTGCTGCTTGTTGATCTGTATGTGTTTGTGTATATGTGGAAAGAGTAGAGGTGATTAAATATGCAAGGCTCCAGGGGAAACTCTATACTTGCTCCTAATGTGAGATGTGAGTCAGTGTTGGCTGGAGCAGCCTGAAAACTTCTGACCAGAGGGGGAGGAGATGATGTCGGTGGGGGTTGGTTGAGATGTCTAAACACAGACGTCGTGGTGGTTGAATCAGAAACTGTCATTGCAGAAGTGCTTCATCTTCTTTTGTGTGCGTACATTTTCACCACCTTTCTTTTCCTGTTGCGTTTCGGATTGCAGCTTGTGTTCTGCATGTTCTTGTTTTTTTTTTAAAAATCAGACTGATTAACATGATAGATCCAGAAGTCATCTAATCCTCTATATATATGGTTCTCTTTTTCCTGTTTCTTCAACAGAAGTTGCTACAAAGGCTTTTATTGTCAAAAACTGCCTTTAAATGCATTTATTTGCATTTAAAGCAATGTAAAGGTGTATTATGCTTTACGTTTTATACTTTAAAATATATTTTAGGTCCATAATGTCTTTAGATGTCTAAAAATATGAAAAAATAAGAAGTACAACGCTTCTGATTTAGATCTGTTCTCCATAACTGTATTTTAAATCCTCTCCCTCTCCAAGGTCCTAGAAGACAATGACTATGGCCGCGCTGTGGACTGGTGGGGTCTGGGCGTGGTGATGTATGAGATGATGTGCGGTCGGCTGCCGTTTTACAACCAGGATCACGAGAGGCTGTTTGAGCTCATCCTCATGGAAGACATCCGTTTTCCTCGGACTCTCGGCCCTGAGGCACGCTCGCTGCTCTCCGGTCTCCTTAAGAAGGACCCAATGCAAAGGTCAGTGTGTCCTCTTAGTCAGGTCTCATTTCTAACTTTTATTTATCGTTACAGTCGCTTGCTTTTAAAATGTGGCATTGAAAGTCCTTGTTTTTGGGTTTCCAGGTTAGGTGGAGGGCCTGATGATGCCAAGGAAATCATGCAGCACAAATTCTTTGCTGGGATAAATTGGCAAGATGTCTATGAAAAGAAGGTGGGGTTCTGAAATATTTATTTTGCCTGTGATTTATATAAAGCAGAATTGCCTAGAAACAACACTGTCAGAGTGACAACTGTTCCTTCGGCGATAAATGGCTGTTGATGTAAGCATGTCTCCTCTCTAACAGCTTGTCCCGCCGTTTAAGCCCCAAGTTACCTCAGAGACGGACACAAGATATTTTGACGAAGAGTTCACAGGACAAACCATCACCATTACGCCACCCGGACAAGGTAGCATCACTTTCACATGCTAATAACCGTGCAAACAACTTACTAGCAGTTCCACTCAATATGTTCAATATGTCACAAAGTCAATCCACAATTCTTTTTTATCTTTCCGCATAACTATTTGCTGTATTTAAAAGGACACGAGTTGCCTTTTTCTAAATATGACTGGAAGCTTTACCCGGCTTCATTAGGGACAGTGTGCCCTCTTCAGGACATGCAACACTATTAAAATAGGCCTTAATGGAAAACATTAAAGTAAGCAGAGAGCTGAGCACTTTGAATGACAATGATCATTTGGGACAAATTTTACAAAACTAAAAAGACAAAATCTAACTTTCATAACTTTGAGTGGGCCACCGGGTTTTTTTTGTTTGTTTGTTTTTTTTTGTGTGTTTTTGACTTCCTGATAGAGGGAACAAATGAATTTTGGATATTGTTTAATAATCAATTTTTTTCTTAAACTTCGTAATACCTTCATCCCAGACCCATCTGCTTTGTTCCTAAGTCATCATGATTCTGTTTGTTCACCAATATTCTCTAACAAACATCTAGAGCCTTACCAGAACATTTATAACAAATAAATCATACCAAAATCGATTTTGTTTACTAATTAGGTGGCTTCTGAAGGTAATTATTGTACTGGATTTCATTTAGGGAAATCAGGGTAAAGGCTGCACAATTTAGTGTTGATCCGTGACATAAAGTACAATTAATATACTTAAATTTTAAAGTTGAAAAATGTGTTACCTTGTCAGACAGATTGTATCTTTAACAAGAACAAACAGATTGTTTTTTTGTTTTTTTTTTTATATCCCCAGATGACAGCATGGAATCTTTCGACAGCGAGCAACGACCCCACTTCCCACAGTTCTCCTACTCTGCCAGTGGGACAGCCTAATATGCAAATCTCAAACATTCCTCCGGTCCCACCGTCATTCCCTCTCTGCACCCGACTGCACTCTCAAAAGGCCCCAGCCTGCTCAGCCTTGTCCTCCCCCAGCATTGTCTGCACAAGCCCCCCCATCGGATGTCTCAGTCTGCGAGCCGTTGTTGTTGTTGTTTTACAGGATGGAGGAAGTGCGAGACAAAAACAAAGATAAACGTGCTTGTTCTTGGTGGCCTTTGAAGACTGACCATGGAGATAACACTACCCTGCATTTCCTGGTTGTTATGCTGTATACAGAGCAGGCATCCGTACTCCATAATGAACGGGGAAATGTAGCTATGCACAAATTGGGCTACCCCCACAGCTCAATGGGTTTTTTTTCTTTTTCTTTTTTAAAGGGGTTGTTTATATTCAATGAAACATCAACCATTTCAAATAGGTTCTAGGCATGCTGTGGACCAAAAACACCATGTTAAACAGAGAGTGTGTTGTTCGTTGAGTGGGTGATGTATTCATGTTTTTCGAGTCTTTTCTGACTTTTTTGGCCTCATAAAGTGAATGTACCGTATCAAATAAAGTTAATCTTCCTTCATACTGATGTGCTGTAACACATGTCTAATTCTCCTAAGACTGAAAAGTCCTCTTTGCTTTAAGCGACCCTTGATACAAAACTGAAACCGATCTGTCATATTACCATTCCACACAATGATATGTCTGAGGAATCAGCAGTGCAATCTAGTCTAACATGACGCGAGTGTGAGTGATCATTCAGTTCCTTTTAAAAATTGCTTGCACATCACTCAGATCCACTGTTTCCTGTTCAGGCTGATAAAAAGCATCTTCACTCCTGAAGTCAGTGCTTACACTTTCTGGTGCCTTTTCATGTGGATGCTCCTTCTGCTCCGAGCTCTTCTTTTCCCCTTTGGGTTCTTCCTCTGAATACAGTACACTATTGGGTGTTATATTCCACCTGGTGCATATGCTGCAGCCTCAGTGAGGTGACTTCAACATAATACAATTCTTTAGGAAAACGTCGCAAGCAAACTAGGCTTCAGGGGAAAACGGTGATCTTTCATTTGCTTCTTTAGGGGACTTCCACCCCTCTCACTAGCTTCCGAGTTATTTATGAGACCAATGTGGATGAAAAGGAGTTTCACTGTGCCAATGATATGCACTTTGTTGCCCAAAAATGATTGTATTAGGACCCCCCTCTACATATGGCTGGTAAAGACTAAATTAGTTTCCTTTTGTAAGATGAATTTGTGTGTTGTGGATACGATTGAAACCAGACGTGTTGGTTTGAATCATTTCTTGTGCTGAGGCTAAAACCGATGGTCTTCTTTCAGGAGTTTCCAGAAGCTCTTCAGTGTTTTTAGAACGACAGATAATCATTGTCAAAAGTACATATTTTCATTGAATGTAATGGTTATTTTTATATTGTTTTCTCTTCAGTCGTTTGCAAACCTTTGTTCACTCTTTGAGTCTGTTTGTTACTTATTCCTATGCACACTCCCATCTTGGCTATCACCTTCTGAAAATAGGGGGGGGAAAAAAATCATTTTATATTTTTTACTTCAACTTTTTTTGTATCTGCCCCTCCTGTATTCCTGTGACCGAGGACACCAGCTTTAGTAAACAAATAATATAAACTTTGTACACTGTTTTTACATGTTTTCTTCTCAACTGATGAAATAAAAGGTCTTATCAACTGATTGACTCATTTCTCTTAAGATTCCATTCAAAGAAATCCAGAAGGCAAAACATACAAACATGTTCATGAAATCTTGGGCTATTAGAAAACAAGCATCTTTTTAGTGCTTTTTTTCATTATTAGATGTTATTAGTATTTGTGACAAATGTTCTTCTAAAAAGTTTTCTATTTGCTTCCTTTATTTTTTAAATTGATGTCCATATAAAATTATATTAAAAAATGTTATTGAGGGAAAAGGGAAATTAAATGTTTCGTAACTAGTTCAGGAATCTAGTCATTGTGGACGATGTTGTGGGCAGTCATTGTCGCTGACAGCAGCCAGTCTGGAAATAAGTCTATAGAAGCCTCTGACTGAAGACTGTTGCAGTTTGACGGTCTCATGAATGCTCTGCTCTGGTGTGCTATCTGCTCTTATTTCTGGGCACCACAGGTGATATTTCATAGCAACATCCTTAATAACCTTGTCGCCACAAACTGCTAGTCCCACTCCTGTAATCACATTTCTATGTCCCTTACAATTGTGGAGAATATGTTCATTTTCACCCTCCATAAAGAGTGTAAGCTGCAGGAGGTTGGTGATCGCTGTTTAATGCACTTCATCAAAGCGAATTAATGGAAGGCAGAGAAGAAGGAAAAAGGTACAAGCAACATATACAATAATCACAGGCTTGAGCTGACTCTGAGGCAAATTCTCTTCAATTATTTGAAGATTCAGAAAGTGAAGCTGGAGTGTGTTTATTCCGAACATGGGCATCATCTATCATTTCTAAATCAATCAATCAATCAAATTTTATTTGTATAGCACATTTCAGCTACAAGGCATTTCAAAGTGCTTTACATCATAAACACAAAACACAAAGGCATGCAACATAGAATAAAATACCAAGGTTTTTTTTTTGCCCTCTTTTTTCCCTTTCTTCCCCCTTCCCTTTGACACGGAATTTAAGTGCCTGTTACCGCCGGACTCCGCCATCCAGAAGCCGTCAGAGACTTCAGAAAAATTTTACCTGTTGTTCAGTGGTCAAATATTTTCTTTGGAAGTAAGGTTTGCATTTCACTTAAAATGCAAGATACTAGAGGTTGGATGAAAAGTGGAGGGTCACAGAATCAAAGGTTGAAGGGCGAAGTTTTCCCAGTAGCGATGATGTGAGGAACCATGTAAAACTACAGTGGTGTTGGTCCCCTGTGTTTTATCAAACCTAAAACATCTTCATCTGTCTGGAAATCTTAGAATATTTCATGCTTATGTCTTCTGGCAAGCTTCATGAAGATGGTACCTGTCCACACTTTCAAAAGTGTCAGTACTTGTTTGAACAACCTTAGTATCTATGTACTTTATTGGTCAATAATCCTGATCTATAACGTTTTTAGAGAATTGTCAAGAGGAAGATGAAACACCAATAAAGCAACCTGATTTCCTTGAATGTCTCTCAGTGCTGAATAGAAGAACTAATTCACAGTAAAGAGTGAATTAGTGTGCCACATGTTAACTGACTGAGTATTGACTGCAGATATAATGAAGTACACTTACATACTTTTTTGCAGAAAGACATTTTTGTATTGTAAATATGAGTATTATTTAAAATTTTTGAGCTACTGAATTTTGTTTGTATTAACTGCAGTCCATAATTATCTAAATTACTACAGGTAAATGCATCAAAAATGGAATCTGTAAAAAGAGTTCCATTTTTTGATTTGAGTCACTAAAATTCATAACCTCATTTACTAAAACACATTGTAAGGCTAAGTTGTAGCTGGATCAGGAGGCTGAACTCTGCCATTAAACTGTAAAAAAAAATAACTTACGCAAGAATTTAGCTTGTCTAAAGCTTCCGGTGAATGTGAATTATGACCAAGAGTTAGAAAACTGTTCTAACACACAGCGTCTTTATGTGTGTATGGCAGCTCGTGTCCAAGTCCAGGGTTTTGCAGCTGGTCTGAGACAAGGAGAGATGCTCTGTTCCCCTGGGGGCGCCTTGGGCAGATGGTAAAGTCTCTGGAGCAGATGTTGACAGCCAGAGCTCACAGTCTGCTGTTTTGGCCAGCTGCAATGCACAGCAACATTACAAGCTGAGGCAAAAGGTTTGGTCCCAGTATGGCACTCACCTCATCTGGCTTTTTCGGCTGGACTGGTCCTGAACGCAGCACAAAACTGAGAAGTTGCTTTGGCACTGACCTCACCAGAACCGTGATGTCATTTATATCACACAGTGTGGAAGCTGGGACTCCTCCTGTATTTTTACATAACATTCAGACATTGAGTCTCTGAAATTTGGGTGTTGTTCCTGACAGCTCAGTGTCACTTTAGAGGCATTCCTGGCAGCCGTTTTGAAATTACTTTTCTCCATTTCAAGAAGGTTTCTAAGCTCAGACTGCAGCTGGCTGAACTGGAGATGACTACTGGCACTCACTTTTAGTTTTGACTTCCTTCCATTCCTCAATTAGGTCTCACTTTACTTTGGTCATATAAAAATTTTTAATATGCTTCATTAAAACATGGCAAATTACAAAATAAATTCAAGTGGTATAATATTTAGGAAAAATGCTTGATATCTTTAAGGAACCCAAATCTCAGGCTTCCTTCCAGACACTTTTATCCCAAGGTCAAAAGTCACTCTTGTCACTCCAATAATAAGGATCAATTATACCAGTCTGTTGCACTTGAAGTTTCTTCTTGAGACTGTCAGCTGCACAGCTTGTGCTGCTAAAGTCCCTCTTTGGTAGACAAACCTTGAGTTAGACCTTTTACTTTGATGTTGCCTGCTATCATTTTGTCTAAAATGCCAATTTTTGCTGACTCTATTCTCCCCTTTTAAATGATTGCAACAATTGTATATGTGTTTAATCATTTAATCATGCTTCACTTCATTGTTTTGAAGTGAAACACTTCGGGATTCTAATCTGTGAAAAGTGCTACATCCATAAACTGTACAGTGTACTTACTTGTTTCATATTTACCACTAGGAAGTTGCAAAAAGGCAGAATATTTTGTAGATTTAAAAACAAAGAAAATGCCAAAGATGCCATGAAACTGCTGCTATTTAACTCAGTGTTAATGTATTGAAGCCTGCTTTTGCTAATTGACTGCTGTGCACTTAAATTCCTGATGTTGCAACAGTGAATGTGCGTGATCAGCTGCAGGCCAGGAGCTGGTTCAGTGTCTTTCATAAACACCTCAGCAGGATGGCTGCAGCTTCCCAAGGCTTGGCAGTGCACTCCATAACAAGCTCGAAATTCATTGAACAAAATATGCGCTTCGAAGAAAATATGTTATTCTTAAACAGAAGGCATTGGTTCATAGTGAAATTGATCAATTTGTAAAACAACAGGTTTTGCAATGTGGGCGTGAGGAGTTATCTGCTCAAGATAAAGCATTTAAAAAACAGTCTGACAAACTTCATATATAGACCCCTTCTTCACATTCTTATTTATATTGGTTAAAGGTACCAGTGAAGAATTGTGATGAGCAACAGTTGCAATCCAACAGAAATACATGCAGGTCGCCCATTGGGTGATTCTTCATTCATTGGGGCGACAGCTCCATCTAGCGGCCTCAAGATTGTCGAGGGAAACCAGCATCTTAACCCTGATCTACTCAAAATGAAGTTTCAGCCTCTTAACCCTGATCTACTCAAAATGAAATTTCAGCCTCTTAACCCTGATCTACTCAAAATTAACTTTCAGCCTCTTAACCCTGATCTACTCAAAATGAAGCTTCAATTTTGTCTCAGATAAACCAATTTATCTCAGACAAAGAACAAAAAAGATTAAGCTTGTGGCTTTTATTACATGTACTGTGAGTTCATTTTAGAGCATGATCAAATGATTAAATTTCCAGTTCAATCAACGTATTCTTTGATTCTGCAAATTCATTTACAGCCCTGTAAAAGAAATGACAACTTTCACGATATGTTAGGCTGCTTTGTAATCAAAACGTATAATTAATTTGAATCTAATTATTTTGATTCTGAATGCCATATAATGCTGAAAACCAAATCGTGAATTTCAAGTGTGAGTCTGAATCCCATCTTCATAAGTTTCAAAACATTTGCAATTTCTAATAGCGGAAGTATTCTCCCTTAAAACTTTTCCACTGAAATGGAAAAGTTTGTTTTGGCACCTTAACAAGGCGTACCACAGGGGGCGTGGCTATTCGTTTTGCTGCCCTCGGAATTCAGTCAGAGTAAGACCTCTGTCTTTTCTCTCCTCTCAGATTAAACCCATTTGATGGGACGTTGTCGTCACCGTGTCAGGACTGGACGCTGGAGGCGTTTGGAGGAGAGTTTAGCTCGGTTGTCATTCCCGAAAGGAGGAAGAGGGTGTGTTGGACATTACCTGGCCCGAGTCACCTGTTGGTTTCATGTCGGTCGTCGAGTTTCACTGACGTTACGACGTTAAAACACTGGCTTCACTAAGGCGTAAAACAGAAAAGGCGTTTAAGGTGAGTCGGTACTCCTGTTGGGAACAAATCATTGGAGAGAAAGCTTGTTGCGGGTATAAAGAAGTTGACAAGCGTTAGCTAAACGATACCAGCAACGAACACGAGCTAGGGACATTTCAAACAGCTGGGTTGTCTCTTACGAGAAAATACACAAGTTTACACTTGAGAATATAAATATTTACGGGTAATTTTGTCAATAATATTTAGCTTAGTAATGTGACAGGAAGTAAAGCTAACAACTTAAAACTTTCAGTAACGTTCATAGATTGAGGGTCAATTGACATATTTACTAGCGTGTTGTAAGTTAAAATGTATTTATTTATAACTCAGTTGATTAGATTAAATCCCATTCTGAAATGTGTTGACTTTAAAATGTTGTCAGTTTCTTAAACGATGTCTTTAAAATGTCTGCCACCAAGTGACTTGTGGCCTTTATTGGATTGATCACTTAAGCAAAGGCGTGGGATAAGAGCTCCAATTCTGTGCTGATACTCGCTTGTGTTCAATATGAAGAGGTGAAGTTATACGAAATAACTAATTAAAAAAAACAGATAATA